GTTCAGCAGATGGTAAATTGGTAATGTAAATTAAGCCCCTATATTTTTTGATGTTGGGAAAATCAATTATCATAAATGAAAAACAAACGGATCAATGTACATTTATTGTTGACTTTATTCTATTTTTTATATATCAGAATTGCAATAATAATAATCATATGATAATTCCTTCCTCACTAGGCCCACACTAATAGTTTACGGTTGTCATTAGTTTGGATATAAATTTGGATTACTTTATGTTTTAAAATTAATCAAGTTTAATTTTTTTATCTTGTCAAAATAAATTATTTTATTGACATTTAAAATAAACGGTTCTTAATTATTTTGAAAATATGAAGATCGCCACATTATGTGATCCAAGGGAATCATGAAACGTAATAGGTTTTTAAGTTATGCTAGTACATTTTTTTTAGTAACGTTATTATTAGGAATATATGATATTCTTTTGTAAGCTTAAGACTTGTTTACTAATTGTTTTCAAAGGATTTTTTCAATTTTGCCTCTATTTTTATTTTTATCTTGAATTTTGTCCTTCTATTAGTCGGCTATTAATGTATCAACGTTGATTTGACACTACGGTGGATTGATGATGTAACTTTGAAAATGACGTGTGTAACTAAGAGCAAAATGTCTAGAACGTTATTATATCCTTTGAATTAGATTATGAATCGGTCTTCAAATAATTAAAATATTAATATTTTTAAATAAATTTATTATAAAATAATTATGTAATTTAATATTTTATTGTTTAAATCAATTTTTTAATAATTCGAAAAAAGTTTTGATATATTCATTCGAAAAATACAATATTTTTCAAATGTATAATATTTTGAAAGTATGGAGGCAAGATATATAGTTATTTAAAAGTATGAGACCAAAATGTGTAATATTTTAAAGTATGGAGGCAAGATATATAGTTCTTTGAATCTTGCCAAATTAATCTAACCTACAAGCACTACCACCCAAATTACCAAATTATGTTATTGTCAATTGTAAATTATCATTTGACTCTTTCCAATCCATTCCTACAACCCAAAGTGCAATTCCACAGCAAATAACATAAATTGTTTAACTCATAACATTCATTGAGTTCCTTGCATCGCAATCATAGTCATGAGACTCTGCGTTTTAATCTTTTCACATTCAATCCACAACTAGCCAAGTATTTAATACATAATTTTTCAAAAAAAATTCAAAATTCAGATGATAGAAGGAAAACTAAAAGTGGGAATAAGATTAAGAGTTGTTAACTAGGACATGTTGATATTTTTCAACATATGCTCGCCTATTTGGCTCTTTGACTAATGTGAGGTTATTTTGGAAATTATCAACCAAATTAATTTTTTTAAAATTTATTTTCATTTAGGAATACTCAACACTAGAAAACACATGTCAACATTGCACTTTTCATGTCACATAGATTTTTTTTATATAAAAAAGATATCTATCTTTTATGTATGTCATATGAAAGATACAATAATTTTCTGTGTTAATTAAATATACAATGACTTGCTTTGTCATCTATATAAAAAAAAGTGTTAATTGCGTGTAATAAACACAATACCTTGTTGCATTTTTTTTTTAACCTTTATCAGTAACATATTATTAATTTATTTTTTTATTTTTTATTTTTTATATATATATTTTTTTTTACATTTTTGACAAAGTATCACATTGTATCATTTGTTTTCATGCACACATGCCATGATACTTCATGATGGGTTGTTTAGTTGAATTATATTTTTCAAGAGGAGTATGATATCTTGTTATATATCACAAGTATTTTTATATTGATATGATAGTGTTTATTTTATGTTTAAATCTTGATTTATTTTTAGTAATTATCCAAAATGCTTCATACTAGTGAAAATTTTGTGGGTATGAACTCATATTCACCCTCTTATTATAACACTGTTGGACTTTATTTTTATTTTAACCTTTTTATGTCTCTAATGTATAATTGATTTCACAGTTATTGTTTCGGACTTCCATATTCTATTTTGAGAACATGAGAGGGAAAAAATAATTTTAAAACGCAGTTGTGTGACAAAATATCAAATATAGGGAATAGTCAACAATAGTGAGAGAGATAGAAATATGGAAATAGTCACATATCTAATATAAAATATCAAAAATTAAGTTGATTACATTTCTAACAAGTGAATAAACCGTTTTCAAACAAAAACAATACATACTTTTCTTCCTTTGATATTTTCCATTAACGTTTGTTGGTTTTTTTTTTTTCCCTCTAAACTGATGTCAACTATTTAAAATTTATATCCAAAGCCACCTACCATTTTAAAAGTGTGAAATAAGCATGACTTGATTGTAAATGGCATTGATCGTAGTATTCAAGATCAAGGTCCTTTAACATGACTTGATCCAAAGTTAATTGGGCTAGGTTTGAATTCTAATACGGATTTCTGATAATTTATAAATATACTTTTTTTCCTTTTTTTATTATCTTTTCATAAATATGCTTATATTTTAGCGTGTGTTTGAATTTCATTTTAGAACGTAATTTTTTCTTCTCTCCACGTTCAACAATGAATTTACACGGAAGCTATTATTTGTTCCTTTTACTCAAACGTGAAAATCCACGTTTGGAATCCAATACAAACACGCACTTAGTTTCATTGATTTTTATGGAACCACTTTTTTACTCACAACGTACCCCTTTCTCCCACCCTTTTTCTCTCTCTTGTCTCACTCCCTCCATCACTCATGTACCAAAAATTACTTTTTAAAACAAGTTCATAGAATAAAAATAATAAAAAAAATCAAAATTAAAAATTGACTAAAATTCAAGGACTAAAAATATATAGTTATTTCTTAACCAAATCGAATTCCAAAAAGAAAACAATACTTAATTAATATTGTCATCAACATATGGCATTGGCCAATAAGCTCGGTTATTATTTTTCCCTATTGAGTTTTGACAAAATGAAGGTACAAACACCTAGATAACCTAGTTGTATTGGACTCTTCACACTGTAAGGAGCAGTAGTATACTTAGATTTCACCAAGTGTGGTGGCATGAGCATGATTCACAAAGCATAAGGATACATCCTTATGGGGAGGAATATAATCAGTCAAAGCGAATGACTAAGCATGAAATGTTGCTTTTGCTCATCCTAATCATAGCTTCCTTTGCCAAGCACTCAGCTGCTTCTTGTGGATCCTCTATGTGTCTTATAAGATTCACAGCCTCTTGGTTCTTCATCACCTACAAACATATAATGAAATTTGATCCACTATTTTCCTTTTCATTATATTTAAGAAAGGGCAAATTAACAACACATTCTTAAATTATATGTAAAATTATTTAAATAAAAATAAAATAGCTCAATCTATTCCGGCTTGATGGACCAATGAGCTAGAGAAAATAAAATCCTTACAAAAATTAGGTCAAGTTTGATCGGCCCATTTATCACACTTAGTTCGATAGGTCAAACTTACCATTTGACAACTCTAATTTCTGTTAAGTTTAAAAAGGTACGGTTATGGTGTGAAATTTCAACAAAGAGGAATGTTTGTGTAATTAGCTCTTTAAAAAACCATTGTAATGACCTACTATTTGAAGTTACATATTATCATGTAGGACTTACCTCCCATATGCCATTGCTTGCTAAGATCAAAAATTCAGTATCAGAGTCGATCCTGTCACCTCCCAGCACAAGTTCTGAGCCTTTAGAATGCTTTGCACCTGTTTTATTGCCTGATTCACATGCTATCATGCGTGCTTTTGTGCAAATGCATAGAATCCATTATTAGATGTGTGAACCAAAAATATGGATGAGCAAAAGAAACAAAAATTGTGATACTTGTATTGTTGAAATCCCAATTGATTGCCGAATAAGAAAAAATAAGCTAGTGCAGTATAGCAATTTTTTGTTGTAATACTCAATTGGCTCTTTCAAATGAGTGTGTAGTCACTCTAATTATGAGAAAAAGATGTGAATAATTGATAATACCTGAAAAGAGTCTGCGATACCAATGTCTCTTGGCAGTTAGATTGTGTCTGCCACTGGTCTGATAAGCTACACCATTTCTGCACAGAACAGTTCTGTAATCTCCCATGTTGGCTATCACAAGGTTTTCTCCATTTATCACCATCACTGATGTTGAACCTATTCTGTATGTCTCCTCCTCTGGCTTGTATGCCTCTCTGATCTTTGTTCTTACACCTAAGTAAGCTCTCTTCATTGTTTCTTTGGTTTTTCTCCTCATATGACACTAAAATGTAATTGATACATCGGAAACACAAAAGAGACCACAAATATTAGTTGAACCTTTTTTAATAAATCTAAGATAAACTTTGATATAATCTTGAAATGTTAGTTTGAATCATATAAAACTAGCTTGAAAATTGAGGATTGACTCCCTCTTACAAACTCTATTTTAGTCATATTTTTAACTGATATGAGACTTAGATTTTTCCTTATAATTATCAAAGTGAAACTCTAATTTTGATCAGAAAATAACTAAAAAAGCGTTCATTATACAACATATAAGTTTTTTTTTACTTTTAATCTCTTCGACACAGTTTGTCACAAGAATTTTAATGGAAACACAATATAGTATAATCATCAATCATAACTCATAAGCATTATTGCTTTGGTTCAGCAAAATACAGAGTATACCGGAGAGAAGCAAACACAACATTGATTGATTACCTCTTTGAGCTTCTTGCCAAAGAAATGAGATTGCATGTACTTGGTAACTCCATCTCCAACTACAGCATCAAAGATTCCAAAGTACCACAGTTCTGTGTGATCCATTTGCTCCCTTTGTATCACAACTGAATCAAAGTCTGAGTCAACAGAACCACCTTTGATTACATGATGCTCCACCACATGATGACCATGTGATATTGGAAGCATCCATGAAGGCTTGGTTGCATTCCATTTGCTTCTCCTTCTACCAAAGAAAAATCGTTTCACCCGGAATGCCTGCTCATTTCAATGGAAAGATTAGTTGCTCACGTCAATTATTAATCATTCATATGAACAAGTAATTTAGCAATATCATGGTGAAGAAAATCTCAAAAGGGGCATCATCATTCTTTTCCTAGTAACATTTTTTTTTACACCCTTGCATGGTTTTAAATTGGATTCCGCAAGCACGACCAGAATTTAGAACCATGCACCCTTGTATTAGGCATATAAGATGAAACTCAGATAAGCATTTAGCAATGTAGTGGAGAAGAAAATCTCAAAAGGGGCATGATCATGACCATTTTTTTTATAATAATAGTAACATTTTCTTTACACCCTTGTATTAGGTTCATAAGACACAACTGAGATGTCCATTTATATGTTTCTCATGAATTTCAAAGAACCTGAATGTAACAATGGAATAGGGAGTTACCTTGAGCTTGATGTGAAAATCTCTTATTCCCATGTTTTTCTCAGACTAATAGATTAGACCCTTAGAGAATATGTGGCTTCTTTAGCAGATGCTGATCAGATACTACAAAATCACCATTTTGAGATAGAAAATTGATAGGATTCTATTGTTATGGCTTGGTGGCTGCATATTCAATAGAGGTGTTGAGTCAGGTAGAAGTAGCTGCTCAATTTTAAAAAATTAATTGGTTTTGATTATCCGTTAGGAGGAACTTTTGAATAAGAAGTAACCGTCATGCTCTACTTTTTTTAAGTTTTAAATTAACAAAAAAAAAAAAAGGATATCAATTTAAAGAATAAAATAAACTCCTTGGTCCCACAGCTACAAATGTACCCATTATTTTTTTCAATTATTTTTATATTTTGTGGTTAATGTATTTCAGTGTTTGTCTATGATATATTATATTAACTCCTTTTCAATTATTAAACAAATAGTATGAGAAAGTAAATACATATTTATTGTTAAAAGCAACGTAAATATATATATTTTTATTTTCATTTTATACGTATACATTTATTCAATTCATTACTAGTTATTTATTTTATACAAATGTTACAGAATGTGCGGATCAATTGATATGATGTAATTTCATTTTAATCAATGATCTTAAGTTTCAGTTTTGCTTTTTATAGTAATTATATCTAACTCAAACAAGTTGGTCTTATGGAGGTCATATACATATGGTTTTAGGTTATAAATCTTATAGATAAAAAAAAAAAAAACAAACAAACAAACAAGATTACCTTTTATAAAAAATATATATAATTTGTAAAAAAAATATTTATGTGGAATTTTTGTTGTTGTTATTTATAGGAATTATAATAAGAATAATATAATTTGAACGTAAAATTTTGCACATCCTACTTCTACCTCATCATTGTACCAACCTTAATAATTTATATGTATCTATATATGTTGCAAACAAACAAAAAAGAATATATCATTCATATATAATTTAACTTCAAAATAATACTAGTATCGTCTAACTATATATATATTTTTTTATGAGGGATAATCTCACACTTACTGAATGCGGTCAAAATAAATATATAAGTGAAAACAACTTTCACAATTATTTTTGTAAGATTGAGATAATAAAAATCTTTATTATTATTATTATTATTATTATTAATAAGTAGAATGTGTAAATGAGTGTTATAAATCCATGGACACCGAGTTTCATTAGTAATAAAAAAAGTAAGACTTATTGCTCAAACAAATGTTAACGTTAAGCTGTCAATTTTAAACACGTTTAAATACAGATTAAAAATATTTTTAAGAGCTTCTTAAATAAAAATAAAAAATATTTTCTAATAAAAGAACTCTTAAAAATTCTTCATTGAAATAAATATTTTATGACATTAGTGAAGTTACCTCAAAGAGTTAAGCAGAGTTGCTGATTGCGTACAAAAACAGTACTAGTTTAATGCTATTATTTAGATGCAACAATTAAACATCCATCAGCAGGTGCTCTCTTTCTTTTATTATGTTTGTTTTAATGCATGATGTAACTTCTTCTCAAACTTATCATGATTTATCTCTCTACCAAAAAAAAAAAAAAAACTTATCATGATTTATCTATGCAGAAATTAGATATTAAAACCGTACCAAAGTTTTCGGATAATCCTCACTATATATTTCGACTTTTCCACATAATACAGTTGATTTAAATAAATTAATCAGACTAAATTGTTTTTTTACTTTTATTTTATTTATTATTTTTATTTTTATTTTAAAATATTCATTTTACCTCTCAATGTTCTAAATTTGGGATCAATTCGGTTATTTTGAGACGATAATTATTTTAGTTTTTAGATATGATTTAAAATTTATTTTTGACTAATTCAAGACTTTAAATTTGTCTCATTAAGGATTCATGTATTTGAAAAATATTGAATGTAATTAGAGTTCAAATAAAAAAATGTTACAATACGGTGAAAATTGCATAAAAGTAAGTTAAGGAGATAATTAAAAAAAATATAATTTCATACTATTTTCTAATTGCTCATGAAACATATTTTTTACATAATTTTTACTGTGTTTATAAATTTTTTGAATTTCAACATCAATTGAATTTTATAGTCTTTATATAGTTGAATTTAATGTTAATGTTACAAGTTTGACATATTGGATTAATAAAAAAAAGTGATTAAAAATTGTGTCACAAAATTAAAAATTGTTATTATTTTAAATGGATCAAATCAATCCAAATATAAAAAATATTTTAACATATAAAAAACAAATGAATCTAAAATATAAGATATTAAAAGATTAAAAATATAATTTAACCATAATTATATTATAAACTAGTAATTAATTTAGTCCATGTGTTTACTGAAATTTTATTTTATATAATTAATATTTATAATAAATAATTTTTGAAATATAAAAATATTATAACTTATATTTTTGATAAATAAATATTTTTTAACATATACTAGCTAGGGACAAGTCCAAGCATGCACAATCTAATTCAATCATTTTTGGTAATTTTTTTTAATGTTTTAGTCAAATCCAACTCATCTTGTTTAAACATATTCATGTGTGAATTAGGCAACAGATTTTAATTTTCAAATCTAATCTAATCTAACTCATACATATGAAACATTATTAAATTTATTATTATTATTATTATTATTATTAATATATATATATATATATATATAATATTTTAAATTAAAAATATTGTAAAATTGTGAGTTTTGTTAATCATTGTGTTTTACCAATAATTATACGTTATGGTGTTCTAAGGTGTGGTGTTTAGAGATTTTAGGAGTTAAAGAACTTTTGAAGAGTCTTTAGATATTTTAAATGATTTCTTTGGACAAAGGTCTAGTTTGACCCTGAGAAATAAAGTATATAAGATTTCTTTTGATACTTAAGCCTCTTAAACTAATTTCTTAGAGAACCTAGAGAAATAAACTAAAGAGAAAAACTTTGGAATCCCAATTCTTCCTTTCTTCTTCCTAGACTCCCTAAAGGAATAGGAGATCATTGTTGATCAATAAAGTTGTGATTTGAAGTTGTTAAAGCTAAGGATTGGTGTTGGTGTGAAGCTCCTATTTTCTCTTCTTCTACCTCGGTTCGGTTTGACCTTGAGGTAAGGAAAGCTAGATCCTTGAATCTTGTTGGATTATTGGGTTCCTAGTGGATTGATTGTATGATTTAGATGTTAAATAGTTACAATTGTATTGTTGAATTGCATGATTCTAAATGTTGATAGTTGAACTCAATGTTTTTGGGTTTTAAAGAGAAAAACTTGGTGATTTGGAGAATTGTGGTTGCATGTTAGAATTCTTGTGCAAAATGGGTTGTTGCTAATCTATACAAGTGTTATCTTGCTTTGCATGTTGGTGATTTTCTGGATTTCAGGTGGTTTGAACTAAATTCATGAGTCTATAAGTGTAGAACTCATCATTGCACTAAACAAACCTTCATGGTGTCTAGCATGGCGCAAATCAAGGAGTCTCTATCTTGCTCACATTGGACGTATGACTAGTTACATCATATATGAGGAGAGAGAAAAGCTTTTGACTTAGTCACGTTGGGCATAATTTGAATGGTGTTAGGCGTGAGGTGGGAGAATTGGCTATGTCTGGTTTGGCATCGAGTATCAAAGGAGTGACGTTGAATGTGAGGAGAGAGATCCATCTCTATCTGGAATGGAGTTGAGTGTGGGCTTTTGCCATGCCAAGCGTGAAGCCTCAAAGGTTCCCTACGTGTTCCATTCTAGGTGTGGGTTGAGTCGTGTTGAGTGTGGATGAGGTAGAGAGCTCCTTGCTTCAATGGCTTCAAGCATAATATGTGGCATTGAGTGTGGTTTACTTTGGAAAATTCTAATTGTTTGATTGATGATATGATGAACATAAATAGGTTAGGTGAATCTATTACGTGTTGTATGGTGATAGAGGATTATTGGTTCTATATATTGATTTGGGATAATATATGTATGAATGATTATATAGTTGAATTGTTAATGTGTGATGCTGAAAATACTTTAAGCATGATATGTTGCATGATTGTTAACCTGTTGAAGTGTTGATCTTGAGAATACTATAGGCATTTAGGCATGTTGATTGACTTAGGACTAAAAGAGAGAGTATTTTTGAAAGCTAGATATCCAATAATGTGGGTATTGGTGTGATGTTCTATGAGTCGAGTTGTTGAAAAACCCTCCTTGAGTAGGTGTTATCTCTTGGGATGGATTGTTGAATCTCCTCTAAGTCTTTAGTTAATATTTGAGAAAGGTATGAAGTTGAGAGTTAAAACCCTTAACTAATTAATGGAGAGGTGTGTGGTATCGCGAGGATAGTTAGCAAGTTAAATCCATAGGTGACTTGGTTAATGCATTCCATGGTCATGGTACGCCCATCCCCAGTTATGTTACACTTGATTATGGTACTGAAATTTTCTAGTTTAAGTGACGATATATGAGAAATCATGTTATAGGGATTGGTATCCCAATTCGATTGTTGATTTAACAAGTGTAAAAAGATTGGTTGGTTCGATATGATTAAACCACTTAGATTGCTCACCTTGTTGTAGTAGATCTTCGTTGGTGAATGCGTGACGACGAATTAGTTGAGGTATTAGGCATATGATGTGGTGATTATTGATGTTCATATGTTGCTAGTTTTGGTCGTTGATGGCATGATTGTTGGTGTATTGATGAAATTATTGTTCCTTTGTAAGGTATTGGATGTCATGTAGAGGTGTTTTGTTGGGTTGATATGTTGTAGACCATGAGGTTCTTTATTGTTGGTTTACATGTTGGTGTTAGTGATTAGTATAGTCATCTTTATTTTTATACCTGTTGAATGAATATTCTTTTGATTCTACCTTATCCTTGCATGTTTCCTTATGGTTAAATTGAGATGATCATGTTTTAATGGAAGAAGGATAGGGTTATTCAGAGGCATTTTGTGATTTGTGAGACCATATTGATGGATGTTTTGCTATTGAGTTTGTTGGGTTACTCCAATGTAACTAGTTGTATAGTTTTTATTTGACCTGCAACCTAGGATTACTCTTTATAGCTTTTGGGTCATTGTATACACACACACAACACATATATAGTTGATCATGCAACCATTATGCATGTATGTATATATTGTTATTGTGACTTCTAGGAACTATTTATATGTTAATCTTAGGAAGTTAAATTCTTTTCCACTA